TACATCCCAGAACACCAAACAGGCACTTGCAACTCAGCAATATCACCGAAACTTCAACAGTATTGGGGTTTATGAGCAACTCTGACATTATTCACGAAGCTTGTTTTAAACCTCAAGCTCAGATTTACCTTTTCACGTGTGCACTGATTGTTTCATTAGCACATTTCTTGACAGGGCCTCCCGTAACATCCCAATTCATCCTCAGGGTTTTGCCACCAGAAAACCCACCAAGACACGTTTCTTGTGTAAAGAGGAATGCCTGTGGTGGTGACAACGGCTGTGACCATCCATCTGTGTCACTTTCAGAGCCCCAGCTCGCACAGCCAGCACCCCTGGCTCATAGCGCGGGGTGTCCGGCACAGCAGCCCAGAAAACCTGGCCACACACTTTTTTCCTTTTTTTTTTTTTAAAGTCTCTTGGCAATGCAACCCCAGGACTGTTCCCTGATCCAGCCTGGCCTGTGTAAGCACTTGGTGGTTCATTGCCGTTACCAAGCATTCCTTTAACGAAGATTAGCAGGTTAATGATAATACGCAGGAAGCTGCGCGCAGACAAATTAGACATCAAAAGCCTTCAGAGAATTGTGAAGAGCCAGCTTGAGTGAATACCTTGACAAAAGCATTCTGCTTTCCTGATTTCTTCCCCCAAAAACCCAGCGCGGGGACAGGCAGGGGAGAAGAGTGACTTTGTTCACAGATCGCTCGCTCTCCTTCTCTTGAAATCACTGATGTTATCCTGACTCTAAATACCAAAGGTGTCCCCGCTGCCTTGAATTCGCATCTCGTCTCTGTAAAAACACTGGGAGTGATTTGTTTGAGCAGCACAAAACTTCAACATTTTTGAGGAAGAGCATTGCGGGGTGGGGGGGGCGGTCCTGGCGAAGGTCCTTGCGATGGGTACCACAAGCACAGCGCACCAACGGGAATGTGAGCTGACGGGGGTGCACGGGCATGAATAACGTTAAGTTTTTGAGCCCACAACAAAATTCAGGTGTCCAGCAGCACATGCTGCTCTCGAGGGGCTGCAGTGAACGCACAAGGTGCACAGGAGGACCGTAGCACACGTGGAGATGTCCTGCCCTCGCCGTCTGTCCCAGCCGGTGCAAGCAGACTCAGACCCCGCTAAGCCGTGGGCTCTTTCTGGCCCCTGGTATCTCTTATCCACCAAGGCTACGCTGCTCTGATCTCAATCCTATTTACATCTGTGTCTTCCTAAACTATCCCATGCCAATAAATTGCATGATATAGTTATGAGGGAAATGGGGTTTTTTGTTTGGATTTATACCTGCTCCATCAGCCCTTCTACGCTGGGTGTGGGAACCCAAGGTAGTTCACAGGTAATTTCCATGATCCATTCCCAGGGACAGGGACATTGTCATCAATCCCTCAAGCTTCAGCCTGACTCTTCTTGCCTTTAAAAGACTTCAGCTTGGAGCTATTTATGCCAGGGTGAACAAGAGAACAGGAGGCCAGTTTTCACAAGCAGGATTAGGATGTGCCTTATTTAGCCTAGCAAACCACGGACCGGGGAGGAGACAGGGCGCTCTTCTCTTAGGGCACTGGGAATAGTGTTACTTGTGATAAAATTGAGATTGGCGGGGAAAAGAATGGGTACTCCAGAGCATGGAAAAGTGACCAGCCGTAGGATCTCATGCCTTATTTCAGAGTTTGTATTTCTAACACTAGTTTGTATTTTTCGCAACCCGTGTTCTGTTTCCTGCCAGGGATCTGCCATCTCGCTTTCACTGACAACCAGATACACGCAAAAAGTTTAGGAGTCCCTTTTTTAATTGTCACCAAACCTTTGTGGCCTGCAGAGTCTGTAGCTACATGCAGCTGAGTTGATAGCTAAGCATTCCTAACCACACAAGTGCAAAGTCCATGGAAAAGGGGCGTTTCTAAAGACAGCGTGGAAATGCCCGGTGTGGACCAGCAGCCAGGGGAGAGCAGACACCTCGCACCAGCTGGAAACCTGCTCCGGGAGGTCTGGCTCCCCTTTGCTGGGCAAGAGCTGCAAGACGGAAACTCCCTTAGTCGGAGCGAGGGTGCCGGGTGGCAAACAGGAACAGCCAGGCTGCCAACGGAGCAGGTTTCCCTCCTCCTCAGAGCCATGTGTTTTTCCGTACGGCACCATGAAGAGGAACTTCTGCTGTTCTTCCTGTTCTGCAAACTCTGGCTCTCTCAGGTGAATCGCTAGCACTGTGATGACTGAAATGATTGCAGCTCTGCTTTAATTGCAAGCTCCTAAACCCACCTGAGTGTTTTTCCCTTGCACCATCATCCAGCAGCGTTAGACTTCATTTTTGGCACGCTATTGAAGCGTGGTTTGCAATGGAATGAAACTCCCCTGGTCCTGTGGAAGAACCACAGGAAGGTGTATGGCAGCAAAGTGCAGTAAATGATTTTGAGATCGAAATGCATCATCTCGCAGCTACCAGACCGGAGCAGAGAGAGGGAGCTACCACCATGTTCCAACAAGGATTCCCCAGGATCTAGCATCTCTAAATCAGACCATTTTTAATTCATTGTCCACACTAGCTTCCACACTTGGAAACCATGAGCTTATCCATTGAGCATTTACATCAATAGTCGTAAGTTATTTTGCCTTTAAATCATTTGTATTTACGCACCAAATTAAAATAAGCCAATCATTTTCCAAATAGCTTTGTAGGAGCATCACTTATTCAGGCTGTTCCATTCTTAAAATCCTACTTTTTAAAGCAATATAGTCTATAGTTCACAAAATGCCTACAAAACACTTTTTGACTAATTATTGTCTTTTCTGGTTATAGTACTCAATGAAAATAGGCAGTAAATTTTCAAAGGAGTCCTAGCATAATTTCTGCTTACCAAGGAGATTTCCTTGGGGAGTACTCTGTTGAGAAAATAAGGTTGGAAGAAAAATAGGAGCTCCAGTGGAGAGTCTGAGTGAGAATTGCGATACAGAATGGTTTGCGGACACTCCCTTGTTAGTTAGTATTTTAAACAGTTATGGAAAATACCTGTATTCAGATTGTCTAGATTGTCTCCCAGATATCTGCCGGGAATTTCAAATGGGAAAACCCAACATGACTTTCTTGCAGACATTGCTCACATACAAACGCTACCAGGTGTTTTGTTTTTTTTTTTCATGGCACCCAGAGATTCCTCAGGCATTTCTCTGAAGAGGATGATTTTTTGCCCAAGTTCACGAGACAGAGCAAGGCAAAGAGGCACCTGCACAGGGGGAAGCAGAAAGGAATCTGAAAGATTTGACCACAATCCTTGAAGCATTATCACAAAGACGTATGGCCACAGGACATTGATTTCTGGGGCACTCCCCAAAATGTCCACCCTGTAGGTTCTGCCTGCAGGACTTTACCCTGAGGGCAGGCAGCATGCATCTGGAGATCAGACATTGCAGGGTCTCTGAATCAGAAGCAGTTTTATTATAATAAAAATTAGCAAACATTAAATGGTCATCTGACTCTAGCCTATGAATCACAAAGAAGTGATATCTGGCAAAACTGCTCTGTGAGCTGTGACAGGAAAATGGAGAAAAGCCTGTTAAGTCTAAACCTGTAGAAAAGGGAATAATGAGCAGCAATTCATCATTCACTCATATTGTCCCTTAACATTTTATAAACATATGACCAACAGCCACCACTCCTTTGCCCTTTATTTCTGCTTAAATATAGCTAGAATGCCACCTCTTGCCTCCCCTGGTATGTATTTGTAATACCTTTTTCTTTTCAACCTTTACTATTCTTTTTTAGTTTGGCTTCTGCCAGCTTACCTTTTAGGATGCAAACAGGCTGTGGGACTTTCTTCACACCCTTATCTTCTTAAGAACAAGTTGCAAAACAGAAGACCAGATTTCAAATATGCTGGAGCAAGGAGGACACTTAAGCTAGATGAGAGAGGTCTGAGGGTTGGTTGCTCAACAGCTATGTCATCACCTGAGAGGTAGGCACTCACTATCTTCCTGACTGAATTTACCCTTTGTAGGTGATTATGCACTAATCTGACAACAGCCTGTCAGGCTGCAGTCCAGGAGAGGGAGATTCTGAAGGGACAAGACACAACACATGTACCTGGAAGTGAAACAGCACTGCTTGTGACACGGCTGTGACTTCAGGCAAACCAAATTGCATGTAATGGCCATATGAAAACTAATGTAAATCCTTACAGGCAAGTCTACGTGTAACACTTCAACCTATCCCAGCTACTCACCATTTTTGTTTAAATGCTAGGTGTGTGGCTTGCCAAATCTTTACTTAAGCTTTGTGTATTTTAAAAAGCCGCATCAGGGTGCAGTTCTGAATCCCTCCTGTCTTGGTTTGACTGATACTTTACTAAGCAGTCTACAAGAGAAAATATTAAAAAATAAACCACAGTGGTTGCACATTCTGCAGCACTGTAAATATGATATGCATTTGGATTAATAACAACTACCATCGGTGAGTTAGCCCCATAACCGGGGAAAGACAGTCATGCACTACACATCCTGGCTCTGATGGTGGCCACAGCAGATGGCTAGTGAAGACTGTAAGGGCAAGGCAGGCCTGGAGAATACTCTGTATAAAAGGTACCATCACCACTTCTGGAAGAAGTCAAAGGTGTAATGATTTGCTGGCTTTCATCTCCCCTGAAACTTCCTTGACTTTATCACCCACAGGAGAGCAGTTTTGCAGCTGCTTCTCAGCTCTTGTTGCTTGCTGTTGGCTTCCAAATGCTGTTCTGCCTCTGCTGAATCTGACAGAAATGTCAGCAGGTGCATGATGCAGTATGCAGAGCAGCTGCTGCAGCATTTTGATAGCCACCATGAAGTACCTAAAGGACTCTGATGTGTTGGAAAGAGCAAAGATTTCAGGACAGCAACCTGACTTCCAAACTTCCAAAGGAGAGGTGGAGGAGTTACATTACCAGGTGTTTCTTGGCTTGTTACTTTTGCTCTCTACCACTCACATTGTTATACATGTTGTATCTTAGGGAATGCAATACACAAACACCAACAGGCACTCAGCTAGCATCATTTGTTTAATAAAGTCTTTTCTGTTTTTAAAAAAGTTTACAAGACAGATGTGTTCCACATGATAAACAACTAGTGGCTGATCTTTCCTTTTAATAACTTAATCCATGCAGAAAGACTGGACTGCTTAACTTGGTGTTACGTAGCAGCTGAACAATATACCAAAATACACACAGATCTACACGCTGCCATGGAAACAGGTAGCACATGACACCATAGAGTAAGAATCAAAATACAAGCCTGCTTGGATAATTTTCAGAATTCAAGTGTAAGTTTAAGGAAAAACCCTGATTTATCTTTGAAATGGAGCTTATGTACTGATAGTGAATGTTCTGCTACAATCTGCCTACAGTCACCCTTTATTCAGCAGTCATGTGAAAACACATACACAAAAATGTTACAAGTCCTTTTTACTACTGATACTACACATTAACAACTGAATCTGATAGCATTGCTTTGGTTGTTTCAATACAGAATGATATAGGTTTCGAATGTCTTAGTTCTGTTTTCCCATTTTCCATTCTTTTCCAAAGTCGTTGAAGAGTGGTGCTGAGGTGAATGTTGGGTCTCTCTTCAAGAATCCAGTGTAGCTTTTGTATGAGGAACTGTGGAAAGCAAACAGGAACATTACTATAGGTAGAGTAGAAATAGAGTAGGATTCCCTCAAATCCCATAGAGAAAAGTATCTTTGCTTATTGTCACAGCATGAAAATTAATGCTAGGCTATCAGTATATCACATTTGAGAAATGTTCAGCTCCATAGAATTTCAACTCCTATTGGAAAGGTCAGACTGACCAAAGCACTCTAGAAGGCCTGCAAACTCCTATTCTCTAAAATGTTCTTCTTTCAACACACAACCTATGAACAGTGGGGGAAACCTTGTCTTCTTGCAGCATAGCAGCAAGGCCAACGGTTGCTGAGAAATAGTACATCCTCGCTTTATTTTCTAAGAACACATTCTCCTTCCCAATATGCCTGCTCATCTCCAGTATTAGAACAGGAAGGTGCACTGAGCACAAAGCCACAGAGAGCAGAACTCATGTGATTCTGGCTGTTGTACGATATGACAAACCACTTTTGACTGCATCCCAATTAATGAACAGAAACATTTCACACCAGGCTTGAAGCTGTTCTCTGTGAGGCCAGGGAAAAAAAGCCTGTGGACTTGAAAGTTTCTTTGATCCCTTTTCCAGGTCAATCCAAAACAAATTAGCGTATTTCCAGAAATCTATTCAATGCCTTATGCAACTTCATTCATATTAATACCACACAGATAATATGAACTTCTATAAACCAGAAAACATCCCCCAATGTCTGACCACTAGGGAAATTCATGGGTTTAAAAAAAAAAAAAGCAACTTTCTGAGCAATGCATGATATTGAATTGTATAAATCACAAGCCAGACTGAACTCTAGGGATGGGAAAACAAGAAAAAGGTTAGACTTTAACTTTGCAAAACTGTTAATAATAGCTAACCTGCACAGCCAGCTCAGGTCTTCAGTATGCAGACGAGGGAAACAGTACTTTGAGAGCTTGGACATGTTTGAAAGTTCAAAATCAGCAACGTAGCTTGGGGGGGCGGGGGGGGGAAGGCAGGCAAGCAAATCTGTATCCTGAAGACTTAAAACTGACTGGAACAATACGATAAATACATATCTACATATGTAGATAATACATGAAAAAGAATTCAGGTCTATAGTCAGACACTCTAATTCCATTCCCTCAGCTCCAGGCATGTCCTGCATGTCAAGTGCCTGAAGGGAGAGGAAACTCCGGTTCTCATATCGAATTCAGCAGCAAATGTGGTGCTCAATGCCTGGTCTAATGTTCTCATTAGATGGTGAATGTATACAAAATAGCCTGTTATCAATTCATCCTGGGAAAGAACAAACTGAGGAGGGAGGGGCAAGAACCATGATAGGAAGTTGCAGTTCTGGCCTGTCTCCAACCTCTAAAATGTTTTCCACTTCCACTGCTGGGGACCATGTGGTATTTGGGTATTACAAACAACGGGGGCTGTTCTGTAGTGACCTCCCTGCTACATAAAGACAGAGAGAGAAACACAACCATGTGTCTCTGCTCTGAAGAATACAAAGCAGGACTCTGAGTTAAGTGACTGCTGCATTACAAGACCAAAGTTTTAGATTTCCTGAGTCAACCTGGAAACGGTCGTGGCTGGGCCAGACTCACAGATACACACCCCCAGCCAAGCACACGGATGGGAAGAGGTTTTCACCCACTTCTACATCCTAGTGTGCCGACGGCAGACAGAAGCGGAGGTTACCCACCAGTGACATTATCAGAATTTCACCTTTCAGCACTTCCAATGCAACTCTCTGCATATGCTGCTTCAGTAAAGCACCCAGGGTTAGAGACTGCTCAGGAGGAGGACACAGCTTTAGAGAGGAGTGGAAAAGCCAAACCTGAGGCCTGCTTTGGATGAGCTAAGGCTCTCTTTCTGAAGACACATCTCCTTCTGCTCCACTGCTTGCGCTGGGGTCATCCTTGTTACGGGGGGCATTTCTTTCTCTACTTGACTCAGAGGGCACCTTGGTTCTGGTCTTCTCTTTTCTTTGTTGCTGTTTTTCAAGTTTTGTCAGCTGTTCACAAAGTTAAGGAGAGTAAGAAAACACTTCATGGAATAAAATAATTTCAGAAGATTATTTCTAAAAAATCGTAAATGTGAGCATTTGTATAAAACTTGCAACTCAGCTTCACAACACCAATACATATATCAATAAAACAGAAAAGAAAACCAAGGCTTAGATTTTCAGAAATTTGGAGAGGACAGTGAATTATAATCATATGCTAACATGATCACCCCCTGAGTATAAAAGCGAAGTGCACATATTCAAAGGATTACCCTCTGCTTTTCAAGGTTCCTTTGCCCAACAGTCTGCAAATGTGGAAAAGAATAAAACACAAGGACCAAAAGGGGGAGCTGGATTCCACCAAACTCCTCTTCTGGTTTGGGTCTTAAGTGGCAGTTTTGTAGTTCCAAAGGTACTGATAACAGATGTATCCCAAGTTCAGCCATCCAGCACACAAGAATAAATTTAAGTTCCTCTTTATCCAGAGAAAGAGATATATGAACCTTAGCATCCCCTAGGATATATATTAACCATTTCGAATCAGCTTGGACGTACCCCTGTGCTGTCGCTGCCTTGCTACCTCCCAGTAGAAATGCTTTCAATGCTGCTAAGAGTCAAACTAAGTTGCACACAGCTGTCACTTCTACATCTCATTCCCATTTTTCAGAGAAATAGGTTGCAGTAAGTTTTGGGACTATACATATTGATAGCTACTTAAATTACTACACTTTGTGCAGTTTATCTGTTTGGGCATTTTCTGTACTTTCCTGATTTTCTCTACTGCTTCCACCATTTCCCCAAAATAAAGCACACTAGTCATAAATCATAATTTCATGGCCAGAAGATCTCTTCTGAGGTGAAATCTTCATAGAATAAAATAAACTAGATTATGCATGTCAATTAGGAATTAGACGGGCTCATGGAAGATGCATACAGAGATGTAAATGTGAGCTCAAGTCAGCAAGAGCTGAGTGCAGACTGCAGAGCCTTGGGAGGATGCACAGCATCCCCTTGTACCTTATCCCACACATACACACCCTCCCTAAACACCTACACACATGGACTTCTAGCCTAACACTGAATATTCTTAGCTGGCTATTTCAAAACTAAAAATAGTTTATTTTTACTATCTAAAATGACACAGTATGATATATTCGTTTGTCTGGCATGATCCAGTCCTCAAGTCACGTGCACAGATGTAATCAACGTGTTGGGCATGATACAGGCAATACTTGAACTCACAAGTCTGACAATATGCACGCTACTCGTCTGCCAACAAGGCTATACACACAGCACATGAATGTTAATCGAGAAAGTGAGTGCATCTGCAGGAAGGGAAACAAATGTTTGTAAGCCCTTCCTATTAAAGGTACTCAACCTTAATTAATGGTACTCCCATGGTCTCTATGCAGTTGGGGTTTATTTTTGCAAATGGTATTGAGGTCATCCAGCTGCTGAAATCTGAACGGGGGTTTCAATGCTCTTCATGGCACAAAAATGTAACCGAACAGGGAAGGCACACTACATTAGCTGCAGACTGCAGAGACCCAAAAGCACAGTTCCTAGGTTTCAAAATATGGATTTGTACATACTTAAATAATTACATGAGCAGGTAGTGCATATTCATCATTCCTCACTGGCCCTCAACCTAGCAGTCAGTAATTGCAAAGTAACCCCCAACACAAGTACCCCCAAACACCAAGCCAAACCACAGTCAAACCTGCTGCAACAAACCTATAAACAGCTGTTGCAATCCGTACACCTTTCTTTTACCGCAGTATAGAGGGTCATAGTGGACACCCTTTTTTGACACTAATGATGCCGAAAAAATTTCCATCACCTCATAGTTCTGTACTTTATAACTGCATGAAACTTCATTGTGTCTGTAAATAATGTGATTACTGAATGACATGATATCCCCTCTTCTCTGTGTTTCCTATTACTTGAAAGAAGAAGAAGCCTAAGACACATGACACCAATAGTTTAAATTGAATTACCTTTATCTTTGAGAAGGCTGTGAGCTAACCCAGTACAGCTAAGCCTGGATTTTCAAAACATGAAACACAGTAGTGTATTCACGCCGTGAACCTTGTGTTATGCAATACAGAATCCACATCCATAATGTGTATTTGCTCATATATCATTTACATATAGAGGCAGAAATGGCTCAATATATGATAGCATGTCATATTACCATTTCACACACGCCTACACTGGGCATTCCAACATAGTCTTGGGGGTAAATTGCATACTTAATAAGACTTCTGAGGTATATATAGTTATATATAGTTTTATAGATACATATATATGTATACATATACTCTTATGTACAAGGGGACCATATTCTCTGTAGAAATAGAAGTAGCATTTATATCCTAAACAGTATCCATCAGATGGTCTGCAAAGTTATGATGTATATTTATCACGAAGGACTTCATAAGTTACCTAGTTCAGTAACTAATTAGTTTGAGAACAATGTAGTGCAGAGGGCAAACAAAACAGCAGATATGCAGAGATAAATCCAGATCTGCCTTCACTCTTGGCTCCGCAGCAGACCCAAAGCTCTACTCATGACTACTCAGCTACATCTCTTTCTCACAGGGCAACATCTTTAATAGATAGAGAAAAACAGAAGCAGGAATAACCTTTGAATATTTAGAACAATTCCTAGGTTGGCATGATCTGACAGCAGTATTCACCCAGCTCAAAGAAAAATGACACCAAAAGTTCATTTAGATGAGGGGAAAGGATAAATTGGTAAGCTCTATCTATCCATGTCTCAAATGAACAGGGTCTACTTTATTAAATAAAACAAATTAAAGTTCATTTATTGTTTCATCCATCTAAAACTCAAGTAATACTAAAATAGATAAGGACTTGTCTGTACTTATGGACATAAACACATATGCTCTCCAATCTGTGCATACACTGTGATCTATAAACCAAAATTCAGGCACAGAGATTAAAATGTTGGTTAGTTGTTTGTTTTTTCATTTCTGTGCTTGTAAGCTGCTTAAGTAATTCAAAAGGATGTGTTATGGGAGTACACAAAAGACCTGCCAGTGAGTTGAAAAAAGTTACAACAGTTAACTTTTCGGTATGACAGTGAATGCTGCTTTCCATGTAAGCACAGAGTGTGTTCCATAGTCATTGTCCCATCTGCAGAAATATCATGAGCTGCTCGTGGCTACTGCCTTATGATGTCTGCTGGCTAGCTGTGGACATGGTGTACAGAAAGTGTCTAACTCAGCTTTACATCCATAAACCAAAATCCATTCTTTTCTGAGACAACTTGGAAGGCTACAAAGGGATTCAAAGTGTGGGCATCTTACAGCAGAAACAGCACTGTCTCGTGGCAAAAGTACTGGGTGTGCCTAAGATGTAATGCTAGGCTGGTCAGCAGTGTGTAGCAGTTCCATCCCACAAGAGCTGAAATATTCACATTTACAACACAAGTCTGGACATCCTGCGCACTGAGCTATGACATACATATAGGCAAAAATTCATGCACAGAATTAGAACCAGTGACCCTCAATCTATTAAGACAGTCTTAATCATAGATGTAACAGGAGTAACTAAGCCTGAAAACTCACATGGAAAATACTGTAAACCTATACATGTCAGTCCTTTTATCTCAAGCCACAGTACCTTGGAATCACTTTATGTTATGACTTTGGCGAGACCAAAACCCACAAACTGATCAGCTGTTCAGAAGAAGTCTTTTATGGTCCATTGCCGGCAGTCAAAACCCGTGTTTTGGGGATCAATACCTGGTCTAACCCAACTGATGAATTTCTGAAGCATGAAAGATAAATGTCTTGAAACATCTCAAGTGTTTAAGACCATCTCCCTTGTGACCATGTACAAAAATGCAAGAGTCCTCTGTCCGCAGAGCGCAACTTTTCTTTTCTCCCATTGTAATATAGATATTTTACATTGCTGATACACTACCAATGAACTAATAATCTCAAACTATGTGGACATTGCTTTGTCCTCAACAGATATAGAGCAATAGTTTTGAAAAAGGTCAAAATTTACATTTGGGTTGACAGCTGCTTTGACAAATTCTAGCCTGATGTAATTTAACAGTACACCACAGACCTGAAATTCTAAAATTGAATAATTACAGTGGAAAGCTAGACTGCACTGTGAAAAAAGGTTTCACCAAGGCACAAATGTCTGCCATTATGTCAGCTGTAATACTACACCACATCACTTTTGTAATCAATTTGCTGAGCAAAAAAAAGCAAACTGGCACACCCCCACCTGAAAATGCTAATAATTCCTCAGGTTGATTGTTTCGCTGAAGTTAATTTCCCACATTCAGAAATGCCTTAGTGTCAGCCTTCCTTGAAGTTCTACCTTCTTGAATACAGAAACATATCCTTTGTTTTCCTTTTTCTCTGTGATCAGTGTGTACACAGAGGTTGATTGCTTTTGAGATAGCCATGAATAACACCAAGAAGAAGTGAATGACACCAACAAGAGAATTATTTTGTTAGCAGTCTGCCAAAAATCAGTGGCAGTGTTCATGTTCCTGGAGCCTCAAACCACAACAAGATCTGCAGATGTATGTTTCAAATTTCAATAGTGGTGTGCCAAACTGCTACAATTTCAAATCTTAAAAAAAAAAAAAAATCACAACAACTCGAAGGACAGGTTACATTTCAGGAAGAGACCAATCCCTCAAACTGCCATAGGGCATTACAAATCTAGCAGTTTAATACTAATGTCACTAAGCAAATGATAGCACTGAGATAAAATTATTATCAGAGGTCTGCTGCAAAAATAAATCAATGGAAAGGTCATGACAGAAGAAGGGTAGTCTTCACAATCTGTTAAGGACATGGCAGATCATCTGACTTTCCTTTTCCTTTCTACATATCTATACCTTAGTCTTAGGATCAAAGTGTTATTAGGAGCTTTTTTCTCTCTGAGAAGAGGACACAATCCTTTTGGCCAATGAGCAGCTCATGCTAGGAATTATATATTTCATTTTCTGCCTAGAAGAAAAGT